ATATATATATATATATATATATATATATATATATATATATATATATATATATATATATATATATATATATATATATATATATATATATATATATATATATATATGTATCCAATTTTAAAATCCAACCATCTGACACAGCTAGTAACATTGGCGTAACATTCGACCGACATATGTCTCTAGACCAACATGTGACTAATATCTGCAAGACATGTTTCTTTCATCTGCGTAAAATAGCAAAGATAAGAGATTATCTATCTACAGCTTAGTTAGTAATAAACTGAAGCTAAATGGAGACAAGACAGAGTTGTTAGTAATAAATGCACGCCATCGCCCATGCCAGCCTATACATTATATATATATATATATATATATATATATATATATATATATATATATATATATATATATATATATATATATGTATCCAATTTTAAAATTCAACCATCTGACACAGCTAGTAACATTGGCGTAACATTCGACCGACATATGTCTTTAGACCAACATGTGACTAATATCTGCAAGACATGTTTCTTTCATCTGCGTAAAATAGCAAAGATAAGAGATTATCTATCTACAGCAGGGGGTAGGTATTTTTCGAGTTAAGCCCTTCGAGTTAAGCCCTTTTCGAGTTAAGCCCCTGCCACGCCCTTTTTCGCCGGGGGCTTAACTCGAAGTCATTTAACGACTTAAGCATTCGAGTTAAGCCCCGACGTTTGGTGGATGTAAACAAGTGACGCGTGTATACTCTCAAAAATATTGGCAAATATATGTAAGGAGAGAGAATGTAAAATTTCAGCAATTTTAAGAAATATATTTTGCTTAGATCTCTGTTGCTTTGCCTACAGTTTTATACAGACAATGACATCGTGAAACGAGAGAGCTCAATAAGGATTTGTAAACAACAGCTCATTCAGGGCGGCAATTACGGCTTTAAAAACTAAAATAATATATAGCGGCACTTGCAGAACGCAAATCTTAGGCATGTTCATATGGAGATGAGCTACCTTTCTAACCGATTTGCTCGGCAACGACAAGATCTAGGACTAGAATTTTATGTAAACTCGTTTTATAGTTTTCCGGTAACTATTTACATGACACAACCGAGTAACTCATCTTGCCAAGAACCCGTCCGGAGAGAGAACAGACAGGAAGAAATTCAAACTATTACAAGTGGATAACAGATACAAATATTTCCACTAATTACCAACGGCAAATAATAACCGAAACACAACAACGGTATTAACGAATCTACAATATCACGATTATGTACTATTTGGATATTCTCAGAAATCAGAATGATCAAGCTAGTAAAACCATTTTCTAACAAAACAATTCAGTATGATGTCACGCTGTAATATTCATGTTCCCTACTTCGGAGAAGAGATATATATCTTATAGCCTGCCTATTTGTGTTACACGCTACGTCACAATTTCGTTTATAAAATTACTATAAATCGCTCTGCAAATATTCCCTTTTTAATGCAAGTCAACGTAGCGCCATTATTACGGGGATAAACTGTTACCATTTGGTATTTTACTCAAATGTATAACAATTTCTCCCCGTGATAATTTGTTTACCCAAATGAAAGTATGAAAACCATTCGTGATTCGTAACCATTTGGCTAATAAAATTACTCTACATGTGCGTATATGAGGCGCGAGTCTCTGGGCGCAAGTTGTCAAAGACAGATCATTCTATACCGAAATTCCTTCCCTTTCCTCCCTTTTTCTTTAGTTATTACGTGCTGACATTTTCGATCATTTTCTTAATAGATTAGTTTTGTTCAAGGTGATGGGAGAAGGTTGGACCTTTTCTGTTACAGTAAAACTGTTAATTTGTCGATATTATATTGTGCACATTGAAACAAAAGGAACGAGTTAGGATTGTATCTACTTTATAATTAAAATATTGTTTTGTTGTGGATAAACGATCCACTAAAAGTAATTACCTGTTGTTAAATTTAATATTAATTTAATATGAAAAACCTAAAATATTGTTAACGATAATAGTTGTGATTGTTTTTGATAATCGTGTTACATTAGCGATATATAAGTTCTTTTTGGGAAAATTTCTGTGCTTTGGCTTTTTTGTATTGAAAACTTGACAATTTAATATTGCACTCGATGACATACTTCAAAAGTCGGGGCTTAACTCGAGCAACAACTTTTTTGTATAATTCCAAACTTCGAGTTAAGCCCCGGGGCTTAACTCGAATAACCCAAATCGTGTTTCGTTCTTCGAGTTAAGCCCCTTTCGAAAAAGGGCGTGGTCTTGGCAAAGGGGCTTAACTCGAAAGGCTTAACTCGAAGATTCCCGACCTCCTTTTAGCTAATACCTAAAGGAATAAAGATTGACCTTTTCTGCCGTAAAGGTCAATCTTAAAATATTATCAAATTTTATACCGGTGTCCCAAAAAACACCAGACTCTGTTTGATTTCATGTAACTTAAAAGCTATAAAAGCTATCGCAATGAAATAAAGATCATTGCATTCATAATGGCTAACTTAGATTTTGATTTCCGCGCCGCCGTGTAATATACTCTCTATATATAAGCTCTATTAGAGCTTATATATATATATAGTATTAAATACTTGTTATGTTTGAAAAATATTTATTTCCCAGCATGTAAACTGTTGACGACGCGTTCCAATCCTTTCTGGCGAAAATAAAACATTTATGTTGATTAATTGTTTTTGAATTAACATTATATACTAAAAATAATGAATATTATTTTCCGTAACTCGTTTACATCTTGGCTTTGCTCGAGTTAAGTCCCTATTTTCCAGAGGGCTAAACTCGAAGTACCTAACTCCAGTTATGTACTTGGTGTGACATGGGCGTGGCAGGGGCGTGACATGGGCGTGGCATGGGCATGGCATGGGTGTGGTCGGGGCTTAACTCGAAAGGGCGTGGTCCGGGCTTAACTCGAACGGCTTAACTCGAGGGGCTTAACTCGAAGATTTGCTACCCCCGCCATAGTGAATCAATATCTAAGATTGAAGACATTTATTTAAAATTTTTTATATAAGTAATTGACACTAGTTTTACCAATTTTAATCATTGCTAGTTGTATCTATCTAACTGATTTTTTATCTAATTCACTTCTTATGTTGACTTTTATATAGTAATGGTAAATATACTACATTTTTAAATGGTTGATGTAAATATACTAAAATTTTAATTTTCTGAATACTGTAAAGCGCCATTGAGCTATAGGAAATGGCGCTATAGAAATACATGTTATTATTATTATTATTATTATTATTATTATTATTATTATTATTATTAATTGACAAACAATGAACATAAATCAGAATTAGTCTCCCTATTGTCAGACCTAATGAAAGAAATAGATCTGAAGCCATTACATCCGAAAAACAAGATTCTCCTCTACAATCGCTACGTTCTTTCAAAACTCTCATGGCATTTCAGTGATTTCACCATAGCATCAATTAAAAAAACGTGGATTTGCGAAAACCTGGATTCAGTTTTCAAACAATACATTCGTAAATGGCTTGAGGTACCTATTTCTGGATCACTTAGTAACATTTACCTAACCAGTAACAAATTTTGGTCTGAACATTATCCCCCCATCAACTAAATTCATACAATGTCAAACAACTATCCGCAGTGCTTTGAAGTCATCTCCTAATGAATCAATAACCCACCTCTGGAAATCGACCTGTAATCATACTAACACCCAATATGATCAGTATACGTCGACAAAAGAAGTAATCAAGTCATTCCGTGAAATTCATGAAGATAAATTGGAAAATCGGTTAAAATGTCAAGGTTCATTCTTCTCGAGCATCTCAAAATTTCCACTACCCCAAGTAAATTCGATTTGGCCAAGCTGTCAATCCAAACTACCAAAAAACATTTTCAACTTCACTATTCGCTACATAAACAATTCGCTACCAACCCGTAAAAACCTTCAAAAATGGGGACTCTCCTCGTCCTCTAAGTGCTCGTTTTGCCTTAAACCTGAATCTCTGTTACACGTTGTTGCTGGCTGTAGTTCTTATCTTGATCGATTTACTTGGAGACACGACTCAATCCTAAATTTTATTGCTAATAACCTCCCATCAGAACATATTCAGACCATTTATGCCGACTTATCATCATTCCCTAATCCCTCTATTATAACTGGTGATGACTATCGTCCTGATCTACTAATTTTGACCAAAGACAATTGTCTGTATGTACTCGAACTAACCGTTGGATATGAGACTAACCTAAGGAATAATATACAGCGCAAATACTCAAAATATAAAGAGATGATCGTAGAACAAAAGAAAAAAATCGGGTTGGTAAAGTTCATTAACCTCTCAATCAGTGCACTAGCTCGGTGTTTTTGAAAAAGAATCTTCACATTTCATACAAATGTTGGAACATTTGAACTCAGATAAGGCCCGTGTTAAATATATCATTAGGAAAATCATTAACATTGCAATAAGAACGACATATTACGTTTTCTGTTCTAGAAACAAGGATTGGTCGAATCCAGATCTAATGAACTTCTAGTTAGTCTATTAATTTTTGTATCATATAATTATGTCCATGTGTTATGTAAATGTAGTAATGTATAGTGTATCAAGTAGCCAATTGTAAATTACCTTTACAGGTAAACTACGTGAAGCGTTCCTCTTTTGACTTCGTAACTCATTTGGAATTTTCCTCATTAGCTTTGCAAATTTGAAAAACTCTTTGTAAATCCCATGAGGGAATTTGCAATGTTCCTACCGGCTGTTGCAATATTCCAAACTTCATTTTAAATTTTCCTAACTTCCTGTTTTAATTTCCTAACTTCCTGTTCTGTTCTGAGCGTTGTTATTGGTCGATTATTTTTGTTAGCCAATTGCAACGCGCAGAACAGAACAGGAAGTTAGGAACTTGTAACAGGAAGTTAAGAACTTCTAACAGGAACTGAGGAAAATTTTGTCGGCTTTTAGCAACATTGAAATTTCCTCAAGGGATTTGCAAGGGAGTTTTTTAAATTGCAAAAGTAATGAGGAAAATTGCAATCAATTTAGAAACTCAAAAGAGGAACGCTTCACGTAGTTTACCTGTAACAGTGAGATTTTCAATTGTAAGTGCATAAAAAATTCAATAAAGTTTTCATTATTATTATTATTATTATTATTATTATTATTATTATTATTATTATTATTATTATTATTATTATTATTATTATTATTATTATTATTATTATTATTATTATTATGAATATTATTATTATTATTATTATTATTATTATTATGAATCCAATCTGCTAGTTAACGCCAATCGTAAGCGTCAAAAGTACAGTGATCTAATCAATGAGCAGGAAGCAGATTATGATAAAGTCAAGTTCGTCAATTTATCCTTGAGTACCCTCGGAGTTTTTGGCCGATCTTGTGAAAATTTCGATGGCATGCTAAGTAGCCTTAAATGTGATGCCAAGTATAGTAAATACATAAAAAAGCACAAATCGTGAACATATGCATACGAACATCATATTATGTATTTTGTAAACGAAACAAGGTGTGGGATAACCCAAAATTAATGTTAATATAATCCTTCTTAAAATAATTATTGTACAATAAATATATAGTATCGATTCAAGTAGACATTGATAAACTACCTGTAAAGCGAGGTTTATCATTGTAGTTGTATATATCCTAATAATCAATAAATAAAGTTTCCATTATTATTATTATAACTTAATCTTGCTTTGACTATATATATATATATGTATATATATATATATATATATATATATATATATATATATATATATATATATATATATATATATATATATATATATATATATATATATATATATAGTGGACTGTTAGTAACAATATTAAGATCCTATTATATATACAAGCATATCTAATTAAAAATTCTAACTTAGTTCTATTGTAAGAGAAGTAATCAACATACAGGGTGTATCAAAATAAACGCAATTCATCTTTTATGCTTATTAATGTCCTCACCGTTTAATAAATATATATATATTGAGATATTTAATATAACGACACGCATAAGAACACAAGGTTTGTGGGGTTATGGAAGTGTGGGACAACTGCTCTATATACTGTATTTTTTATCTGCGAAGAGCTGGGTGCTGAGCGGTTCCCAGGGCATATACTCGTATTGAAAAGCTGGATCTTGGGGAAAGTCGATTAGGACATATACTGATTTGCAGCTGGGTCCTAATCTGCCCAAGACATATACTTTTACGGATTTTGAGCTGGGTCCTGAGTCGGCGGCTAGAACATATACTCCATTTAGAGCTGGATCCTAGCCTGCCCTGCAAGACATATACTCTGAGCTGGGCCCTGGGAAAAAATGATCAGGGAAATATTTCTTAGAACACTGATCTGGCTCAGCACATATACTCATATGCAGAAATAGAGTGATTTTTGTAAATGGGAATTGGCTGTATGCCAGGTTGCCAAATTCCGTAAAGAAAACGTGAGGTCTATAGTAAAATTGCGACCTCATACTAGAGCAATTGCCTCAAACACTTCATTCTTTATTTATTATTTTATTAAATACATAATAACATTGATATAACAGTCTAGTGAATGTCGATAAGCGTTTAATATCCAACGAAGATAATATTTATATATAGATCTAAATATAGTTCAATGTTCCCGAGAATTCAATATCACTCCCTAGGCGGGCCCATAACATACCGTAATTACTTCCAAGTACCATCTTGTACCATCTCGTTACATCAGGGAAAAGGCTGGAGCATGGGGTGGTTGGTGGGTGACTCTTTAAATTAGTCTTTACAGCTCGCAATCCAAGTAAGAATGATATAGGCAGATAAAGCTAACTCGGATATCTGCCCATGTTTAACTATAGTTTCATTGTTATAGTTATGAATAGGTCAAACATAGTTGTTTGGACAATAATTAATAAACGATACTGGGTGCAGTAGCCTACGGGTTTGGCAAGCAAATAATGAAAGTCTGTGATAGAGTCTTCCTTTGTTTAGACAATAGTAGCTTTCGAGTTGGCTTAACATAGACATTTTAAATCTATAATTTTTAGGTCTAGCGCATTGAGTATCGTCCATTAACAATAATTTGTACTCGCAAAAATTACCATTTAATGTCCTCACCGTTTAATAAATATATATATATTGAGATATTTAATATAACGACACGCATAAGAACACAAGGTTTGTGGGGTTATGGAAGTGTGGGACAACTGCTCTATATACTGTATTTTTTATCTGCGAAGCGCTGGGTGCTGAGCGGTTCCCAGGGCATATACTCGTATTGAAAAGCTGGATCTTGGGGAAAGTCGATTAGGACATATACTGATTTGCAGCTGGGTCCTAATCTGCCCAAGACATATACTTTTACGGATTTTGAGCTGGGTCCTGAGTCGGCTAGAACATATACTCCATTTAGAGCTGGGTCCTAGCCTGCCCTGCAGGACATATACTCTGAGCTGGGCCCTGGGAAAAAAATGATCAGGGAAATATTTCTTAGAACACTGATCTGGCTCAGCACATATACTCATATGCAGAAATAGAGTGATTTTTGTAAATGGGAATTGGCTGTATGCCAGGTTGCCAAATTCCGTAAAGAAAACGTGAGGTCTATGGTAAAATTGCGACCTCATACTAGAGCAATTGCCTCCACAATCACACAACGATGGTGTGTGTGATCCCCATAGACCGACAAACAACGATCGAGTGTTTATCTCACTCTGCAATCAATCGTTTTGAAACGTCTGTAAGGACATTGATTGGCGTGCGAATATATCTGAGGTAACAATCGGAAGACCATCTTCCTAGCGTTTGAATAAGCCAATATCAAAATAAACGCAATTCATCTTTTATGCTTAATAACTTTCGAAATACTATTTCTAGTTAAACGCTTTTAGGCTTACTTCAAAGCCTGTTCTTTTCTCTTTCAAACAAACTAATATCCTTGTCTCCAATGCTAGTAATAATTGCACAGGAAAAGATTTAGTAAAACCTATCATTTTTAGTTGCTGTTTAATTATGCAAGTTTACTATGTTATTGTTTAGTCGGTTTAAATGTTAGAATTTTCTTCTTTAAACTTTAATGTTGTCATCACTACATCTGGAAAACCACGTAAGAACAAATTAAAAGTATTTTAAAAGAGACCAGGTTGTTTGAAAATCTAAACGAATGCTAAAAATCGTCAAAACATTCTGGTGTCTGAGCCAGAGTCATCGAATTGCGATGTAATGTAAACAGAAATTATAGCAAGTTGATGTCAGTCAGCTTAGATGGTCCAAGCCAAAATTATATCGCATTTGAAGTTTCAAACTGAGTTAAAATAGTGGAAGAAAAGCCGTAATTATACTTATTGTTACAATCCATTTAATAAAATGCAACATTTTTTTGTTTTAATGAAAAAATCAGTTATTTTCATGAGAACGATTTGTTATTCCATCTCAATTTTTTTAATCTCCAATCGCAATAACGTAAAGTATTATTACCCGCGAACCAATGAGTCAAATTTAAGAAACAACCCACTGTTAGAAAGCTGAATGGCTACGCTTTAAAATGAATGTAAACTTTAACGTTTTCGTCTATTATTTGTTTGGCAATTTACATTTCAGTCGAGGATTGCGCTTTTTTTTATACACCCTGTATACTAATGATGCACTAGTGCGCGCCAGTTCCTGTTGGATTAAGTTCCAATTAAAAAAAGTTAAAAGTACTCTAGGTTAAAACAGCTCCTACTTAATTCTAGTTTAAAATCGTTCTATATACAAATTGTTCTCCCAACACAACCGTTCATAATGTCTTCAGGTTGGTTCTGTATTTCAGAAGCCTCGATATATCTTCATTCCTCGTCATTTCGCATATTTGAATGCAGAATCCTCCAAGTGATCTTATTTGCTGTACGTTTCTTATGGGATAATAAATGCTTAAACACAGTTTGCTTCTCCATTGTTAGATGTTCTTTAATCCGTGTTCCTATTGTTCGGCTAGTCTCTCCTATGTAAATGGTTCCGCACGTTACACACTTAATTTGGTGAACAACATTCTTCATCAAGCAGCGATTCGGTTTGGTGGCTAATTTGCATGTATCCCAGTTGCGGGGGCAGTTTTGTTTATTCTGTTTGCGTGTTTGTTTATTCTATTTGCATGCCATTCACGAAGTGTATTATTCACGAAGTGCATTATTTGCCATTCACGATAGTGCATCATTAGTATATGTTGATTACTTCTCTTACAATAGAACTAAGTTAGAATTTTTAATTAGATATGCTTGTATATATAATAGGATCTTAATATTGTTACTAACAGTCCACTGAAGAAGCCTTAACCGGCAAAACGTTTGGATATTAACAAATATATAGTTAATTTTATGTCTGAAGAAATCCTTACCACAAGTTTATAATATACCAGACATGGTTCCACAAACACATTCATCTTATCGTATTGCGAAGAAAATTGTTCGCCACCATAGCAATATTTCGTTCCTACGTACATGCAAGTATTTTAAAGTAATACCCAATGGACTACAAGCAAATAACATCCTAGCTCATACCACCAATTCACGTTTGGCCGAAAGCTTAGCACTGAAACACAGTAGACAGTGGTTACAGTTGGCTATCAACACCCAATATGACCGTTTATCTAAGATTCGTGGTTGTGTTTTCCCGTTAAATCAACAAGAAGACCATGATATTACAAGACTCCGCAACTCATTGGCCGAGACCAAAGAAAGTAAACTTAAACAGTTGCTTAACCGACAACGTAAGCTTAATAGAGAGTATGAAGCTGAAAACAAGCCCCAAGGTTTCAAGAATCTGTCGTCAGAAACATTGGATAATCAAAACTTCGGTTAATGGGGAAGCAATTAACTACTTGAAACAGACCTAGCTTTAACAGGGATAATGGTTTTTATGTTTAAATCTCCCGCTATACGGTTGAGCCATGTACGTTTCGTTGTTTGGTCAGTTTAGACCGATTCGGTTGTGCCTAAAGCCTGGTCTCATGATCCATATGATCGTTAAGATCGCTTCAATCATTACGATTGCTGAAAAAATGTACCAGCGATCGTAGTGATGATATGGAAATCAATTTAGTTGGCGATCGCAGCGACCGCAATATCGTAACGATCGTGATCGCTGCAATCATAACGACCCCAGCGAACCTCTTTTGGATCAGACCATATTGTTTGAGACCTTTAAACAGAAATACCGCGTGTTGCCGCCAGTTTACATGTGAGTATGAATACCATGTATTGGATGAGAGCAATTTTCGATTTGTGTAGCCGCTTGATAGGTTAAATTGTATCGATGTTTCATGGGGGCGGCTATTTGTTACGCTTTGCCATTAATCTTTCAGTTATAAATGGTTTATCATCTTCGTGTAATTTAAATGTTTTAATTGGAAAAAAGGAGTCAATTGAAACTTGCGTAAATTCTAAAAACGCGTTAACTTTATCATTAACATCGTTCGTGGATAATATGAAAGACCAGTCGCAATTAGTCACAAATTCACGAAAGGCATGTACAGCAGCGGGTCTTAGTGGTCTGACCCTCATTTCATAGTTTCGTCGCATTTTTTTTTAGTTCCTGGAGAGTGGATTTCCAAACAATGGTCGCATCATCCGAGCTGGCGATTGGAGCGAGGATTTCCGGCGGCTTGAAAAAATCACCACAGTTAGTAAAAATAAGGTCTAACATATTCGTACCTCTGGTTGGGTTTTTGACAACTTGCTTAAGATGGCACATGTTTGAGATGGATTTTATCTGGAAACCATTACTTGTAGGATTAAAATCGCCGGCTACTATAAAGGACGTATCAGAGCTTTCAGACATCAATTTATCATAGCAGTCATAGAAGTAGTCATAAAAACGATTAAGATCCTCGGAGGACATAGAAGGTGGTAAGTAACTACGACTGCTACTGCAATTCTCGAGATCGCGCGTGGTAGCTACTGGGGCCGAAGTATCACCCAAAGGCATTCAAAGGGTGATGTTGAGATGTCCATTCGATGTTTAATTAACATGAATATTATTATCAACAAACACTGCAACACCTCCTCCTCGACCTCGAACTCCATTATTTAGTGCCCTATCTTTCCTAATTAGTGTCATCCCCGGGACTTGTACTACTTCGTCCGGTATGTTGTCATTTAGCCATGTCTCTGTTACAATTAGGATTGTCAAAACTTACGAAACAATAATACATGCATAAACTTTATATTTTTTTTATAATCCTGAATCGTTTAATTTCATTATAAGGAGCACTAAAAATCTACTTGTCTCTACCAATGCATTCACAAAATTATTCATTCACATTGATTGCAATTGAAAATAATTGAATTGGTTAGGTAATTCTTATATATAGATCGTGTTTATGGTATTTAGTACCATACATGATTTTAGATCAAAATTTCAAATTTATATGGGGGGCGAATTTCCTAAGGGGGTATTCCTAGGATATTCGCCCCCTTTTGAGAGGGGTGTGTGAATTTCCTGGGGGGGGGGGCGAAACTCCTGTGACACCGGTCACCTTCAGAGACATTGCCCAGAGCGAAATGTTACGGTTTAATTTGAACGTTAACGTGTGTCATTGAAAATTTGTAATGTTAGGTTTTGACAATATATATTTGATCATTTGTCTGTGTATTAATTTTTACTTTCGTTATGTTTTTTTTTTGTTGGTGAGCATTGATACCGTTGTTATCTTTGAGATTTCGCTCCACGCGTGTATGATTCGGTAATGCATGCGTGTGGATTCGGGTTGAAACTGTCAACACTTTCATGTATAACGGTTTGGCTACAGTTTTGTTTGTTGTTTATTCCCATATTCGTACATTTTGCTTCTTTTCCATTGTGCCGGCTCACAATGCCTTGGGTCGGTTTTTCGTGTGTACCGTAGTCTTACTTTTCTTAATGGTATTCCCGCTCCGAAGCGCCAAAGAACTAGTGACAAACAGGCGTTTTCCAGTGGGCATCACCCGAGGTCAAGTATCCGATGGTGTGATTGGAAAGGCTCGCCCATGTCTTTTGTCGGCCCTAGACCCTCTCCGCTGATGGTGTCGCGTGGTCAGGTCTTTGCAAGCCAACGTACGTTTTCCGCGACCCTTCCTCATTTGTCCCTGGGGAATTGCACAAGCATGACAACCAGTGGGAAAGGATTGTCCCTGTGGGTGAGGCGGAAGAAGTCCTCTCTTTTGTTTTTTATTTTCTTTTATTTTTTTGTTAATGTCTGGCCATATTTCCGGCCGTTTAAAGGGAATTTTGCGCGCCAGCGTTATGAATCAGCCTATCCACCCTCCCGAGAATTCCCAAATAGTCCGTCCTTTGACCGTTTCAAGGATTTTGTTCATGCAAATATCATTATTTATTTATTATTAAACGGTTTACTAAAATCAAGTCATCTCGCAGCCCGGAGGCTGAATTACATGATTTTAACAATAATTATATTAAAAAATATATAACTTTACAATTAGATCTTACTGAGGATAAAAATACTGAGGTAAAAATATTATAAATGTGGAATAAAAAAAAACCGATAATTGGACTAGTTCTATAAGAGACTTGATATAATGTAAGTGTTTTTAAATCTATTTGTATTACACCTTGGAATATTAAAAAAGTTTGGATTTCTTAAGTTGTAAGTATTTGAATGCTTTGTAGGTAAGAGATGATGAATTTTATGTTTGTCATTCACTATTGATTTGAAGACTTTAGTACATAATCCTTTCCTTCTTGTCTTCAAAGTTTCCATATCTAATTCTTCAATGGCTTCTGAATACGACAAGTCCGGGCATATGATGCGCAAAGCTCTCTTCTGAATCCGCTCTATTTGGTCTGACAGATATTCCGGGAGACCGTAATGAAACACTTGACACGCGTATTCAAGGATACCGGATCTTATAGAAGCAATGTAGAAACATTTTAAATCATTGTCACTAAGACCCGATGTCTTTAGTTGTTTCATCGCTTCGCTGCTTTAGTTGCTATCTTATCCACATGGGCATTCCACTTCATGTCTTGAGTGATCAATAAACCGAGAATCATTGCTTTTTCAACACGCTCTACGTTAATTCCGTTTATCTTTATCGGCGGGAAAACAGGTTCACTACAATCTCATTTTGTCGGGTTGAGTTCAATTTTATTGTAAGTGGACCAATTCACAATACAATTAGACTTAGTAACATATTGCAGGGAACTTGTTAGCCTGAGTATCAGGCCCTTATGTTTTCATTCGCCAGGATTAATTGGCGGCTGCGAATGAAGGAGGGCCTGATACAATTCTTTACCGCGGCGCATGTAAAAAGCCAGATTCTGGCTTTTTCGTCTGATTGGCCGATTAGACAAACGATTTTTTAAATCTGTCATTTGATTGGCTGGTGCTAATTAGATTATACTATTGTCAGTTGTTGATATATTTTATAACGATCCCACTAAACGGCTGAATTTAAATTAAAACTGCAGTAAAATTAGAAAATAATCGCAAATTAGCGAAATATATTGCAAATGTAGCTTATATTAAATCGCCATCAGATTGCACTATCGACTAACTGACGTATAGTTATAAAGTATACTATATATATATATATATATATATATATATATATATATATATATATATATATATATATATATATATATATATATAATTCAATTTATTTTGGTTGTCCAGATATATAAAGTGCTCAATACTAAAAGTATAGCAGAGCTTATTAGATTGTCTATATCTTAAAATTAAATATCGCTACTCTGAGTTTCACGTCCTTTCTAGACGATCATCAGGCGATTTTGTTCACGATTTTGTTACTGATTACGTGATTGCATCATCATCAACCGTTCGCTGACGCGTTAACTTGTTTGTTCGCGCGCGTTCGAATTTCCCGGCGCTGAATTTTTCTCGATGGCGACATTTCGCGAAGAACTCGGATCTTTTGTTCAACAGATTGGTTTTATGTGATTTCATGATTTCTAATTTCTCTTCTATGCACAAATTACAACGCCTACCGCCAGGTACATACGCTGCTGCTCGTTTCAAAATGGACCACTTAATATTGTATTCCCTTTTCTTGTCCTTCAAATCCCATACGTATTTGGAAAGTTCTGTGTCAGACGAGTACGCAGGCTTATTTAACGACTTTTTGTGATTTCTGTATCTAACCTTGAACTCCGTGGAAGTCATTCCAATGTATTCTTTGGTCGTTCCATCATGGGGCGTTGTTATTTCTGCCTTATAAACTACGTTGCTGGTCAAACACTTTTCATTCAGTGGACACATGCATGCACGTTAGATTTCCTGCAGTCACATTCCGTTTGGGTTCAGGGACTGTAGAGGTTTTTGTTAGGAGGCGGTGGTTGTGGCGTGTTATGTTGCTCAGTTACATTGTCCATGCACGAGTAACTGACTTTGATATTGTTCCTATTGAAGATCTTGTGGAGTGGGTTTTTGGGTGGAAAATGCTTGTCGATGAGTTGAAGGAAAGTTTGAGCGACATTTGTTCTGACTGAATGGGGGGTTGAACCAGATGATGTTCCTACGGCGTTTTCTAGACGGTGAGCTTGTGGAATTATTACTGGTCGAATATTGCAACCTGACATCATAATTGCTATGTTTGAGCGCATTCCGGTAGGGAGGTGCAGCAGAATTAAAAGTTGATTGGTCAGCAGATAGTGAGGAGATACGTTTGTTAATGGATGTAGGGATGATTGATTATGGAAGGTGGATGATTAGAGCAACTGTTGACGTAAAGTGGCTTGCTGTTCGGCTTTCTATAAGGTGAAAATGTCCCACTTTTCAGGTCTATCGTTACGTCTAAGAAGTTGACAATATGGTGGTTGACGTCCGCAGTTATTTTCAACCCGAGATCATTAAATAAAGCATGTAACTCCTTTCTTGCTTTGTCACCCGCTCTGGCACTTCTGCCCTTTAACAGAGCTAAACCGTCATCCCGATACAATCCAACAGATTCATTTTCAAATTTGGCTGCCAGCTGATGATGATGAGATATCACGCCGGTTGATGATGATGCAATCACGTAATCAGTAACAAAATCGTGAACAAAATCGCCTGATGATCGTCTAGAAAGGACGTGAAACTCAGAGTAGCGATATTTAATATATATATATATATATATATATATATATATATATATATATATATATATATATATATATATATATATATATATATATATATATATATATAAACAGTTTTGTTTTTCGTTATAGATAAAAGAGTGCTCAATACTACAAATTATTTAGCAGAGCGAATTAATTTGTTATCTTAAAATGTTTCAATTTCTCGCTACTTTAAGTTTCATGCCACTATTTGTGGCAATCTTCAGGCGATTGCCTGAAGATTGCCACAAATAGTGGCATGAAACTTAAAGTAGCGAGAAATTGAAACATTTTAAGATAACAAATTATATATATATATATATATATATATATATATATATATATATATATATATATATATATATATATATATATATATATATATATATATATATATATATATATATATAGAGGATATTTCACGGTGGCGCGGAAATATGACTTTTATTTTCGAGTGGTGAAAACAATATTTTACGAACGAGC